GGATTATTAGTATCCTATTTATATGTAACATAAATCTATGGTACATTTACAAAATTATCATTATATTCTGCATGGGTAAGTCATTCACGACATAAATAACATTTAGGAGTCTTTCTCAACTTCACAAACTAAGTATATTGAGACAATGAGAAAATTCCTCTTTTTTCAATATTTTCACAAATATTAAATTAATATGAATTCAACAAAGGTCGCATCTACAAAGTTTGTCCCTTACTTAAAAGAAAATTTACTTTATAATTTTTCAATATAAGACATCCTTGACTCTTATTGGAAAGCCATTATTAATAGCAATGAAAAAATATTCTCATGTTTTTATATGTCTAAATTAAAAATTCTTTTATTTTTTTCAGTGATTAATAAATATTGCTTTGTTCCCAACTAAAATTCCTAACGTACTTAACACGAACTTATGTACCTAATTTAACAAGTGGAAGAAAAGATGGTTGAACCAATGAACATTAAATATATGTTAGATGAAGTCATCAACAAAAGCTGATATGTTTCATTCACTTGCGTATATTATATCCACCACAAATTAATAATTTAATTTATATGGATCGTATATTTTACATTTGTTAACAAAAATATCCAACTAGTAGACAGAAAATTTTGTAACGATATTTGCAACATAATGATAATTCTTAATATGATGAACCTAAAAAGTATCAATTGTCTTGCCTTCATGAGTATAATGAAAATTCTACCGTAAGGTATTTTGTTTTGTATGCAATAAACAAGATGTTAATTCAAGTAGATAACAATTACATTACATTATTGAATAAGATCAATTATGATCAAAACTCTAATACTCAATCTCTATCCCTGAAGCCCGTATTTGAAGGTTTGCAATGGGTAAATGCGCTCATGTGTAATAACTCACAAACTATATAGGAGAGGTAAATCATATTAGGAAAATTCTATGCAAGGGACTCGATCGAGATGACGTTAACAAGTTGGTACAAGAATCATGCTTGAAGAGAATGCTCCCTAAGTATACCTCCCTCTACGTATAGTACCGTTTACCAATTCGGTGCCTGGTCAGGTCACAGCGAGGGATCATTCCCGACCTTGACCAACCATTAGCTTGATATTCCTTACCTAAATGCGACGATCGAGCTAATGCATAATTGCAGTAGTGTTTCGTTGTCATGGGATCAACCCCGACTTGTTTAAGTCAGAACGGTCTTCCCGAGCCAAGTTACTTATGGATTTGGACCTAGGTTTCTAATTTTAACCCAACCACATCTCTCATTGGATGGTCAGGAATATCTATTCACCTTGCTGACGGGCACTATTCACGAGTCAGCCGATTGCATATGCAACACGTGTCAGACATGCTGGGAGCCCGACATGTGTCTCCCTTTCCTAGCTATAAATACCGCATTTAATGCTAGAGGTGGACTCTTTTTTTTTTTTTTTTTTTTTTTTTTTTTTGCTCTTTTACCTACCACAATATAGCTTGAAACCCTCTGACCACACGTCTTTACCAGAGCTCAACCACTTAAACTAACAAGCAAATGACAAAATAATCCGCTTACGATCCGACCTTACTGTTTATATGTATTTGTAGGTACGATCGTATTTACCACATCAATATAATACTCTATAAACTCGATCATACCTTTCGGTGCGACTCAATCTCAATTATTGATTGAGAAACAATACATACTACTCCCTCAACCCTCATCAAATCAAGTAATTTCCATGACGAATGAAGCCGGACAAACCCAACCTAGTACAAGCTTGTGCGTGCACGCAATATAGATAATTGTTTTGTCTGTTTGGCATATTGTTCAATAAATAATTTATCTATACTTGAATATTAATAGATTATTATCTATGATAGTTTTATACATACATTGATGGATATCCTTCACAGATGGTAAAAAGATGTAAATTTATTTACTTATTAATTTAATTATTTTACCGTCAAATGATACTAGTCAAGAAAATAACGATCTTGACTTTGAAACAACTATATAAACACTAAACAATAATGTTAAATTGGAGTTCTTGAACACAATTCTATTGATTACCAATCCAAATAAATTTAATATCAATCAAAGTACGAAATTCAATTCCTATTAAAGGTAGGAGCTGTCAAAGCCCGTAGGGATCGTATGGCTCACGGAATGATAAATTACTTCAGGAATGTTAGGTTCATGTGTTTAATTACAATTAGGTTATGTAATATAAACAGGTTTTATGTTTTTTTTTTTTTTAATTTAATGCCCTTAACACATTTTTATGTATATCAATGAACTTCAAAATTAAAATAAATAAACAAGGCAATGGTAACATATATATATATATATATATATATATATATATATATATATATATATATATAAAAGTAAATGAGTTCCTTTAAAAAATGATTTAAAAATAATTAATTAAGGACTTGAACTTAAGAAATAAAATAAGCTAACATGACGGAATAAGAAATAAAATATATAAAATATATAATCACCAAAATAATTAAGTAAGAAATGTATAATAAGCTAACAGAAAATATATTTAGAGTATTACATTATAATTAGAATTAAAAAAAAAATAAAAAAGTCAAAAATATTAAATATGTAAGGGAATCTTAGAATATAGAGTTATTAGAGAATCGAGAAAATTTCAATTTTGGTCCACTGACTATTGGGGTTATGTTAATTGCAACACTTGACTTTCAAAAATGTTAATTTAATACCTTGACTATGTAATTTCTATCAATTTTGGTCACACCAGTCAAATTGCCGGCCAAATCTCACCGGAAAAATTTAACGGGTTAAATAACAAGGGTATTTTAGTCATTTTGCTCACCACATCTTTCTTCTCCGATGAATTTCTCCATTTCCGGCGTTATACTGTAGCCGGAGGACCCCAAGCCGCCGCTAAACTGTTCTTCAATTGCTCAGTTTGAGCAATTGCAATTGCTCAATTTATCATCCTACTCCTCATCTTCAAACCCGCCGTTAAATTTTATTTATAAATTGAGCAATTGCAATTCAATGCCTCTCTCTTGAACCCAAACCCGCCGTTAAACTATTCTTCAAAATGAGCAGACTGTTTGCTTTTATCATTCTTTATTTCCGGCTTGTCGGCGGCGAAATATATTCTTTATTTATAAATTGAGCAATTGCAATTGCAATTCTAAGGAAGATGAGGAACTGGATGATAAATTGAGCAATTGCAATTCAAATTGTGTGTGTGAATGAAGAAGTGGGTCAGATCTGGTGGCAATAGGAGGGGATGGAATGCAAGAAAATTACCCATTTCTCATCGGAAATGGGGGAGAAGATCGGAGAAGAAAGGGGTGTTGAGTAAAATGACTAAAATGCCCTCATTATTTGACCCATTAAATTTTTCCGGTGAAATTTGGCCGGCATGGCCAAAATTGATAGAAATTACATAGTTAAGGTACTAAATTAACATTTTTGAAAGTCAAGTGTTGCAATTAACATAACCCCAATAGTCAATGGACCAAAATTGAAATGTTCTCTTACAGAATCACATTCTCTTCAAAATCTTATGTGGATGGTATGTTGCATTTATTGATAAAAAGTACTATTCCATTGAAAAAGTGATATAACATGAACCAAACATAGAAATGTAACAACCTAAATCTCACATTCCCTTGATTATATTATATAACTTAAATCAAACACCCTCTAGAAGTTAGAACCGCAGTTTATATCATGGACCAGAGTCCACATAGCATTAACTAAGGGGTTGTGGTTGAGTGAAAAAAAGACTCATTCATCCTTAACCAAAGGTCAATGGTTCGATCTTTGACTTTTGGGTACAGAGCAACATTAAGGGTGTGTTTGGTTTATGGGTTTAGCTATCATGAATGAGAATCAAAGTCATTGTTACGTTATTGTTTGGTTGAAAGGTTCATAGAACACTACTTTGAGATTTCATTACCCCTTTAATTAGAAAATCCATTCCCTAACAAAAAAAAATTGGTTTCATTCCATTATTCCCCTTCTAATTGGTAATTTGATTTCAATCTTGCGTTTTTGTTCATAATAAGATCATACACAATCAAACAACAATATTGATAATCATTCCAACTCTACCATATTACCAAACATGCAAAATACTTCCATCAAAACTCATTACCATTACCAAGTTCGATTCTTATTTCGATTCCGATTTCCATGTGCGAACCAAACACACCCAAAATCTCTAGGTCAACTGTCTCACCAAAAAAAAAAATATCTACAATTGAACAGGAGATCAATCAATGTGTCCGATGGTGGAAACCCAAATCATAACACAAGACACATACACATGTTATATATTTACTTATTTTTCAAATTTGATTTAGGTACTAAATTTGTATTCATAGACAAAATTTCACAACACAAGACACAGAAATTCATAACATAAGACATAATTACTAATTTGTTTCAAGCACAAAATTTATACTCTTAAAGCATCGAATTTCATAACACAAGATACAAAAATTCACAACACACAAAATCCACAATGGAGTGTAAACTCTGGTCCATAATATAAGGTAATCACGATGGAGTTAAAACACAATCCTTCTAAAAATATCAAATTGGGCTTTGTGGTCGCACTTGGAGCTCAAGTGCCCAAAATTTTTTAGGCCCAGCATAACGATTTCCTCAAGTAAATAGGCCATGGACCTTATTTCTGCCATTTCAAAATTTAATTTTAAAATCAATTATTTTCATCAACTAAAAAGTTACTCCAAACCATAAAAAGTGTACTATCAAATTTTTATTTTTATTTTTAAAAAAAATATTCTTATTTTGATCAAATTATTAACTTAATAACCACAATGTTACAAGCTCAACTTTCAACAAAAATATCCTAATAACTTTCTTGATTTAAACAACTCAACTATAAAGTATAAACAACCTAAATTAAAATATAATTTACTCAATAGTCAATACACACCCTCGTACACAGATGGCAAGTTTCTCACCTCTCACACACAAACAAAAACAAAAAAGATATAAACCCACAAACCACGCATTTTTGTATTGATAAAACAGTAATTAAAGAAAAGAAATTGAAGCAGCAGAAAGACAAAAAGAATTCCTTGTCAATACTACTGACAACACCAAAACAAAAACAAAAATAAAAATAGTTACAAAGAGCAGTTTGTCTTTGCGGATCAACTGAGTCAATACCCGAACCACCACCCTCTATAGTTTGATGATGCCAAGCCGTATTTTACCTTAAAAATACCCTCAAAAACACCGTACGAGGATCCACTTCGGTTCGTTCTTGACTCAAAACCCTCTGTGCTATCAACTTTCGTCTCAATCTCAAGCTCCTAATATGCATCCTTGGTGTTTATATTATCATAATATGAATATGACCATCTGATATGTAAAAAGGTTCTTTAACCCAAAAAAAAAAAAAAAACAGAAAAAAAAAAAAAAGGCTAGAAAATGTGTGGCGGGGCGGGGAATGTTACTCACGGGCGTTGGGGTTTGTCAGTTGCAATGGAAAGCAGCTTTGATGTCCAGAACCATACGGGAGATGAGTGCGTTTACAGTCTCGACAGACTCCAGCGTGAGCTTGGCACCAGGGAGGCTACTCACTAGCATTTGGAAACCGACAGTGAGTAGAGCTCCGGTGCTGTTGTTGCCCGGGCCACCTTCTTTCGGGAGGGTTCCTTTGGGATGATCGTCGGGCCAGCCTGAGCTATTAAAACAATCGGGAACAATAGAGAATCCGGATGGCAGGAGAGCTACACACGAAGAATCCCCTCCGTTCATCACCATTGTCATTTCGGGTGCACCAACTGAAGCGTATGCGATGAGGGAGCCCGAGATGTCATTACACGATTCTTGCAAAATGAGCATGCTGTTCTGGTTCACGCTGGCAGAAGCAGTCTGCAAGTAAAAGTCGAAGAAAATTAGCGGGATTCGAGGGAAACGGAAGAGTCACTCAACTGGGCTATAATGCACATGAGCCAAACTACATTAAAAGACTGAATCCAACCTATTAGCTAGTCTAACCCATGGCCTTATGAACCCATTTGTTCTATCTTATTTTATCAATGTGGACTCTTAACACTTACGTTTCGATATAGAGATATTTGGTTGGCAGGATCCTGGCCCTTAGAAATGTGGATCATCTGTTGCAAGGTGCCGTTGGATAAGACATCCCATTGGTTCCTCGTTTCTTCGCTCCTTAGGAAATCAAACAAATGCTGCCGCGAAATCGGCAGCCAAATGGTCTTCGTGGCACTTAAGACCACACCCGGGGGCTCTCCCGGTTCACCAACGCTCTTACGCATGTTCAACCTCGCAGCATCGTCCCCATTTCCCGTTTGGATCGGCTCCCATTTGTAAATGTTTCCACAAACCACAGCACAGAAGCTGCGGGTCATCCGTTGTGCCAATGACGCAATACTTCTCCGACCAGCATGACTAACAACTGTGACAACATTTGACTTCATCAGAACTTCCGAAGCTAATAAAAGACATTAAGATTAAAACAAAATTGACGGGAAATACCTGAATTGTCTGTACTAGGCATCGACGAAGACATTATGACTGCCAAGCACTCGCACTGCCTCTGAAGGGTGGCAAGCCACCTTTGCGCTCCAAAGCCCATACCGGACCTAATCATCGGTCGGAAGAAATTGTGGACAGTACTATCATCATATTCCATATGCTGAATCCATATAACCTGAAATAGCACATATTAGAGAATTGTACGATGACAAGAAACATGAAATATTATTAAGCATAACATCAATTATTAAGAAAACGTATTTTTGTGGAGAACCCTAGCCAAACAAGCGAAATCAAGGATCGAACTTAATTATTTTTTAAAACACGATTTATATTCCAGATTGACACATTCAGGTGACTTGCTAGTGTTGCAATGATAATGATGATAATAATATAATAATATCACGTAGGAGCAAAAGAATGGAAACAATTACAGTGGTAATTAATGGTTTAACAGTTACGGGAGGGAAGAAGATAACAAGATAGGAACAAGTTTCAAAATACATCCCGTTCATTTTGCAATCTCCGGGATCAAAGAGATAATAGAAACTTCAATCCTGTCTTTCATAATAGGATAAATAGTATTTAAAGTGCAGACCAAAAGAGACAGAAAACAAGACGGCGGCATTTGTGGGATGATGAAAGAGAGCACAATATAAGATTGTATCTCCAGGTCACGAAGCCTCGGGGTTAGCAAACAAATCCTGGAAAGGCGCAGGGTTATTGTGCAAGAACAGAAGCACTGCACAGAAAGCTTGTGGAGGGAAAAAAGGTGACGGTTCCGAGGCTTTTTTTACCTTTCAACCAAAAACCCAACAATTTATTTATTGGAGATTCAGAAATATTGTAGTATGGATGCCCTCGATTTACACATCTTCAGACTGGCAGTGCTCAATAGAATATATAAGTCAGACACTAAAAAACCCAAACATTGGAATTCGCTGATCGGGCAATTTTAAAATGCTAAAGTGGCATCTCCATCAATAAAATAATAACAGAAGGTTCAGATTCTCATATATCTAAAAGGGTCAAGATAGTATAGTCCTATGTGTTTTCACAGACAAGAAAATGTGTTGATTACGACAAAGACCTTAATTACCACAAGCAGATTAAGGAATTAAAACAAAAAGGGCAACCTAAACAAATTCGAGGAAATCATGGAGGATCTTATGTTATCAGAAGACATGAATTTCGTAGTTACTAATTACCTTGGAATAACCGTTTGGCATATCTTGCACAATGCACCCGGAAGGAAGAATTCTGCAGCTGGGAAATTCGTGCGGTTGTGTGCCTTCTCGGATCATGTCAACCGAAACATCAACGATCGCCCAGACACCCTCGGCATGCTGCTTGCAAAACCGAAGGAATTTCACATGGTGAATGGGTACCAATGGAGAAAGAATTTGGAGTTCACCGTGCATCTGCAAACACGATTATTTCAAGCTATAGTTTTCGGGATAGACAATAGAAGAACGGTAAAGATAACGAAAGTGCATATATACCAATTGCAAGAAACCGTTTCTGCTTCCACTAGAGTTGCTGGAAATTACATCGATGATCGAGGCTCTTCCCACAAGGCCAGTAAACATTTCTGACCATCGATTCTGCAACAAGGAAAGTATATATATATATATATCCTATGGAATTAGTCTAAGAAAACAAGAAATGACCCGTAGACATTCAAATGAAGGATAAAACTCGTTCAATTTACCGCATCCATTAAGGTTTCCACAAGGGCCATGCTGTTGAAAATTACGGTGCCACTCGCCCTAGTTGCTTCAGTTATGAAGTTAGTTGGCCTCATTCCAAGACAAGAATGAAATGTCCTATCGAATTCCTCAAGATTCAATGCTTCCCCGAATCCATCCAAGCTTCGGTACCATAAAGGCTCCCCGATTTCAGCAAGCTTCAGCAGCTCATTCATGGCAGTAAACGCGAGCTCCATAAACACCGATTTATCATAAGATGCCTCTACCCCAGTCATATTTGGATTAGCCCTCGAGGACATCAGAGGCAAACCACTCGAAATCCCATTGCCAAAATCAAGTCCAAGGGGCAACGAACTGTCCACCGGGTTCATCCCGCCAAAGCTGTTCCTTCCCACCGCCAATTCCAACCCGGAATTCGCCATTGCAGGCGGCGCCATTGCACCGGGGAAAGAAGAAAACGGCTTTCCCAGAAACTTATTCGCAAGCACACAGATCCTATTAAGCTCATCCCTCAGCCTCGCATTCTCGATCCTTAAATGATGCTCCTCGACATGAACTTCGCCTAGTATCGCCTGCCCACCACACTGGTTGCAAATTGGGGTGCTCATAGCTTCTTTCATCGCAATGTTCTCTATTCGCAGCTTATCGTTTTCCTGTTTCAGAATCGCATTCTCGTGCCTCTCTAACTGTGTCTGATTCAGTTAAAACACACAAATTCAGTATATTATACAATACACAAGAAATGAAAGACAAAGCTCCTATCATATATACCTTCATTTGGGTTCTCCTATTCTGGAACCAGAATTTAACCTGCTTGCTTTCCAAGTTCAATCTCCTCCCAAGTTCCAATCTTGACTTCTCATCGGGATGCGGATTCTCCTTGAAAGCACTGCAACAGTAAACCCACTGTAAATACAAGTTTCCAGATAACTGAGATAAGAAGAAAAGAGAAAAACGCCATAGCTATAGCTTACGATTCAAGTTCTTGAATTTGATAGGGAGTGTGGCGATGGTATTTCTTTCTCTTGGAAGATTTATCTCCTGGGGTATCTTGATCATCCCCAGAAGCACCTTCAAAGTTCTCACTCCCAGACCGGCTTTCATATTCGTCTTCCCTAGCTCTTCCCATTGAGCCGGGATCGAAGTTTTCGCCTATCATTCCCAGCTCACCCAGGCCCTCCATTTTGGGTTTCTGCACGGAAAACCCAGACATGCAAGGCAATCAAAACGCAGAAATGAAGACTGATTAAATAAAGAAATGGAAAAAGTTTGTTTTTTTTTTCTTTTTACAGTTTGATTTTGGTGAGAAAGGGTTTGGGGGAAGAAGATGAATGGATTGATTGATTCATACAAGGGCAAGAGAGAACATAGAGCGGGGCGGCTGGACCATAGGTGGGGCAACCAGTTGTGGCTGAGTTGTCATGCTACTGTATGGACTACTATCCGCCACCATTCTTCCACCGCCGCCGCCACCACCACCACTACTACCTATGGAGCCTCCAAAAGTCGTCATCATAAACACCCAAAACCCCTCTCTCTCTCTAAAATAAAAATAAAAAACTAAACTTTCCTTACAACCCAACCTCTCTCTCTCTATAAAGATTTCAGAAAACGGATGGAATTTGAAGTTTTGAACCCCTTCTTGGCTGTCCAGATTACACTAATCTCCACACCATAAAAGGCAACCCTTTTTCCATATTAATGCCGCATGGGCACACAGCATTCAGTGATTTTAAAGATTTTTACACTCCACACCGCCTTCGAACCCAATGAACTTCGCCACTCCACCAACCCAAACCCACAAAATTTATGAACAAGCAAATGGGTTGGTACAAGCCAACCAAGACCCCTTATTGCACTTATCTCTCTCTCTCTCTCTCTATCTCTCTCTGTCAATCTATAAAAAAAAAAAAAAAAAAAAAAAAAAACCCTAGTCCCGTTCAATCAGAGGGCATGGGTTTGACCGCTAATAGCTGTCAATCTGTCATGGCAAAGAAAGTCCCCATAAAGCGGAAAGCGAAAGGGAGTTTAAAAGATGGCTCAAAGGAAACCACCCAGAAAGTGAAAAGCCAAAAAGAAACATAAAAAAAGATTGGGCTTTTCATTAACCTTACAAAAAGGAAAATGTACTATAGTAGCAACAACAATAACAAAAACAAAAAACATAAATTGAAAATAGTAAAAATACTGTGAAGATCAAAAGATCACCACTGTCAACTATGTTGACTCTTTCCAGAATCAAGATTGGAACTCCTTTCACACAGTTCTCTGTCAATGAGATCATAACCCCCAAAAATATACTTTTGTACGGATAAAGAAGCAATTTTTAAGAAAAAAAAAAAAACAACAAATATTTATCTGGCATATACCCACTAACAGTTAAAACAAAAGAAAGCTTTTTTCGAATATTATATTATTAACGTGTGGGTAAATACAAAAGTTCAGATTTGTGGACCTTTGCGAGTGAAGTCTCTACACCCAGATGCTGATGTCGGGATCTGAAGAGAGAGAGAGAAAAAAAATGAATTCTTTAATGGAGATTAAATAAAATTTATTTAAAAAAAAAAAAAAAGGAAAATGAAGCTCATAAGTCATATCATATCAGCAGATTGCGAGCTGACTTACTGTGTCTGCAACGGCGCACGTTAGTCAAAGTGGGTGAGGATGGAGGATTTCTTTTCTTTTCTTTTATTTCCTCTGTGTCTCGATTCCTGGAACGAATCGAAATCCTCAAAGAAAAATGGCAGTAAAGAAAAACACTGAATTCTGGGAGAATCCTCTCTCTCTCTCTCTCTCTATGTCTTGAGAGAGTTCAATCTACGATCATTTTTCCTCTCCAGAGCGCTGCAAAATGTGATTATCATAGTCGTATAAAGGAAGAATGATGGAGGAAGAAAAAATAAATGGTGGTGGTGCCGTGCTATATAGAGTATATAGAGGTGTGTACAGAGGAAACTGAGGGCAGGTCCCTGGGTCCACACTCCACATCAAATAAAAATAAAAATTAAAAAAAAAAATCTCCCTATATGGTTATTATAATTATAAGATTTTTTTATATAATCGGCACGATTATCTTTTGTATCGCTGATAATACGATTTAGTCATGTCGGTTTAATATTACAGCTATAGTACACGATTATGCGAGATTATACTAATATAATCAAAATCGCAAAATAAGATTTAGTATTACAGTTCATACGTTGCTCTTACGGTACATTATCTGATCCGATATTATCTGCGACAATACCAATATAATTAGAACCATAAAACAATATTATAATTTATAACTCTAAGAATCCATCCATCTCTTCAATAATTAATATTCGCGATGAAACTTTGTTATCGTTATACTGCTCGTTTTAATTAAAATTTTATCAACAACAAATGTTTGCAGTATCACAATTTATTTAACTTTAATTTACAAAAAAAAAAAAAAAAAAAAAAAAAATGGTGATCGATAGGGGTGTGCAAACTTCGGATAATTTTTGGTTAACCGAACGAACCGATAAAGTTCGGTTAACCGTTTTCGAACCGAACTTTTTCGGTTCGGTTAATGGTTAAAGGAATTTTAAAACTTCGGTTAACGGTTAATTCGGTTCGAAAGGTCGGTTAACTGAATTAACCGAACGGTTAACCGAAGTTTTTAATATATATATAAATAATAATAATAATATAAATATAAATACTAATTTGAAATTATGGATGTTTGGAGTTTATAATTAATGTTTTTGTATATTTAGTTATGAATTTATTATGATATGTATTTTATTTTAATTGAATTTATTATTTTATGTGTTATTTTTAGAATTTTAAATTTTAACTTTAAAAAGTTCAGTTAATTGGTTAACCGACCGATTAACCGAAAAAAATTTCGGTTCGGTTAATTCGGTAGAGCAATTTTTGGTTCGGTTAACGGTTAAAAGAAAAAAAACATCGATTAATTCGGTTCGGTTAAAACGGTTCAGTTAACCGAACGGTTAGCCGATTGAACACCCCTAGTGATCGATGTGCAAATGTGCACTATGAGTAAAACAACAATTTATTTAGCGATAAATATTAATATTTCATTTTTATTCTCTCTTAAAGCATGTCGTTTTTTTCGATTGTGTTCTAATTCTTTCTCATTATAAAATTGATTATCAATAGTTTGTCTTTACTACTTTTATTATACGCTAATAAATTAATGGCTACAAATGAACAACGGGAAAATTCCGTGACCAAACATAAATAATTTCGGTATACTAATTCTTTTAGTTTGTTCCATGTTTTATCTTTAATATTTCTACTTTAGGTCCCCTATGTTATTATTATTAGTGATTGAAATGAACTCTATCTATATGTATCTAAACAAGTATTACTAACCTTTGGTCCAATCTACCATTATTAGTATTTGAATTGGAAAATAATAATTAAGAGTTAATTTCATTTTTTGTTCTAGATTTATAGGTGGACAGCAGTATAATTTAAATTATTTTTATCAAAACATTTACTGTTGGTCTTACTACTATTGCGGTATGACCAATTTTTGTCATTTATCAGCAAAACAGTTTAAATATTGTTAAATACAATGACATCTCCGTTTTCAATTGTGAATTTAAAAAAAAAAAAAAACTTAAAGATAAAAAATATAGCGGATCAACTTACTTTGGATAAAAAAAAAATTAAAATATCTTTGTATTTAACGACATTTCAATGATTTTGTTCATATATGACTAAAAATGGTCATGTCACAATAATACTATAATTAAATAAGAATGTTCTAATAAAAAATACTGAAATTAATTTTAATAATTAAATAATAATTCCATTCAATTTATTATAGCGGTAAATTGTCAACTCCTTAAATTGTTGGTAAGTTGTCAACTTATTAAATTATAAGGTCAATTGAATTATTGACTTTTTTCGTATATACAAGCAAAGTTACTATTTTAATTGAACAAGTAAAGCCAAAACAACAAATAATGCAATTAAAACGATCCGATTATTATAATTTTACCATTTCAATCCCATCGTGATTTAATTATCATTTATATATGAGTATTTTATTTTTACAGTTTGACGGAATTACCCATTCCTAAATCATCGTTCGATCTGTTCGTCCGATTCTGGAGCTCTGATTGCTGGGCTATAACCCATCAATTGTCAACGTTGTTGACTTTTGAGTCACTGTCAATTCATAAATTAACATATGATTCCCAAATCAAGACAAAACCACCAAATTAAAACATAAATTACAACCATTTCTTGCTTTATCAAAATTTAATCAACCTCTTAATTGTGTTGTAGTGTGATGATTTTTTTTTCATTTATTGATGCTTTAATTTTTTTAATTCACATAATTTCAATTAGATTGGCATTAATTCATTCATGAATTACCGATTGACTTAATTAGTGTATTGAAATAAACAAGAATTACTTCATTAAATATGAAAATATTTTATAGGTGTCCAACTTTAATAAAAGTCAAATAGAAAATAAAATTACGGGTTCATAACACTTAAAAGTCATGCGAAAATTAAAGTCAAAAATACAAAAAATTTGAATTGGGATTATTTTACATGCAAACCTGCAATAAAAAACATGACTCCAAATTTTTAACTATATGTTAACAACCGGCCAACTGTCCCGAGCATTTTGATTTTGAGTCTCAAATTATATATATATATATATATATATATATATATATATTAATTTAAAATAATCTTGTATTTTTTTAACAAATAAAAATATGATTTCTTATCGACTACAATCAAACAAGTTGGGATTACAAAATCCTTCTCTTACGATTTTTGTATTTTTCATTTTATTATTTTCCAAATAAAAAACACATTGATATTTGGCCAAAATGTAAAAGGATCAAGTTACATGGTTAATGAATATCCTCAATTGAATAATGATGTGTTTGGTAATTCAATATCGGACAATTAAAACCATTCCATTTAATCATGATACAGGTGCATGCACGTTGCAATGGAGTTTGTGTTTTGAATTGATAAAACGTGTCACATACCAAATTTTGTTATTTTAACTTACCAATTTGTCGTAATATTACTTAATTCATAATAAGCAGCCGATAAATGTAAAAAATTATGATACTTGGTACAATTGAAGTGTTATGAATTTTAATTACGAGTACTCATAAATCTAATTTAATCTAATCTAAAAACATAATAAATCTTAATCAAATTAGTTATATCCCTCATTTATGTTTATGTTTTTAATGCTAATCATTTTGTACATTATGCTTTTAGAGTTGTACTATATAAATTTTTGAACAAAAATACCCTTACTGTTATAACTTCCATTATTTTTTCCACTATTATTACTATGCACATGCATCCACCACATATTTTAGGGAAAAGGGTCAAATAGGCCCTCGAACATTAGCTTAAAAGTAAATTAGGCAAATTATGGTGCATACGGATGTCAAAACGACGTCGTTTTAATAAAACGCGCGTCTCTCCTTAAAAAAAAAAAATCAGGTTCAATTCCCAGCAACAACATATGAACTATAATTCCATAATCTAATCTATGAACAAAAAATTCCAGAATGAATGAACTAAAATTCCATAATCTATAAACAAAAATTTCAGAATCGATAAACTACAATTCCATAATCAATGAACTATAATTCCATAATCAATGAACTATAATTCCATAATCTATGAACTAGAATTCCAGAATGAATGAACAATATAATGTTGTTGCTGGGAATCGAACCTGAATTTTTTTTAAAGGGGAGACGCGCGTTTTTTAATAAAACGACGTCGTTTTGGCATCCGTATGCACCATGCATGGTGCATACGGATGCACAACATAACGATTGAGTAAATTAGGCCCCCAAACTTTTTGAACGTGCAATTGCACCCATCAACAATTCATTTAAGTGCAATTAAGTCCAAAAACAAATTAATGACCTGCTATCACAAGTCATTAGGGTTCAGGCCACCTTCCGGCGAATTTTTCGACAAAAAAAAAAAAAAAAAAAGTGACCGGCGAAATTTTTGGCAAATCTGGGTCGGTTGCTGGTCACATTTTTTTTGTCGGAAAATTCGCCGGAAGGTGGCCTGAACCCTAAAGACCTGTGATAACAGGTCATTAACTTGTTTTTGGGCTTCATTGCACCTAAATAAATTGTTGATGGGTGTAATTGCACCTTTAAAAAGTTTAGGGGCCTAATTGACTTTTAAGCTAAAGTTCGAGTGCCTATTTGACCCATTTCTCTATATTTTATTATATATTTTTTAATAATAATAATATTTGTAGATATTATATATTGGATTATTATAATAAAAAAAAATTGATTTCATATAGATTTTAATTAGTAGGGATTTGTTAGTTATTTTAAAACATATAAATATTAGGCATATGTTTTTGCGCATCGCGCATAGAAAAGACTAGTAAATAAATAAGTGTGTAGAAATGAACTATATTACATCACTCAATTAATTGCACTTTGGGCTCGCTATTTGAATGTGCGCATTGAATAAATATTGCTTATGTATACGTAATAGTATGTAACCACACATGATAAGTAAATTATATTAAGAAATTAAAACACAAATACGACAGGCTCGATTAAAATGGTATTTGAAATAATCGAACTTGTAACATTTTAATACGAGAATGGTGTTCAGTCCACCATCCACCCTTTCGGGTCCAAATAATTTCACTTTGAACTTATGTTTTGGGGAAATTAACTTCACCACCAGTTCATTAACAATCATTGGTTGATTTAAAGGTGGGTGGGCAAAATGTGAAAAATGAATTGGGAGACAGTAAGGTAATGTTTGGAAATTTCATTAAATGAATTTGCTGGATCAAATGCTTCAACATTCAAAACCATGTCACCCACCACTTCCCACTCTTTAGGGAAAGAA